TTTCAATGTTACTTGTGCCTGGAAAAACTAGACTCATACTAGTAGAAGAGAGGCTTTTTTGTATTTTTATTTTGAATTTTTGACTTTTTATTTTTTAAACTGTCTAATAAATTAATGTTAAAAAAAAACTCAAAAATTTCAATGTCGGTATGTTCGTTCGTGTACTTTAAAAAATCGACGTTTGTACTGGCATCGAAATTTTCTTGTTTTATCAACAACAAATAATTGGTTAATTAATTAGAACTAGATAACAAGCCACATAAATCTTTTTATTTTATTATTATTAATTAAAATAGTAATGTGGAATACCATATTGATGTTACTTTAAATTTTAATATAATCAATATATTTTTTCAATTATAATAAACATAATAATATATATATAATTATAATAAATATAATAATATATATAAATATAATAAATATATATATAATTTATTTAATTTATATAAATATAATATTATAAAATAAATTATAATATATAATAAAATATAATATATTAATAAATAATATAAAATTATAAATCATAACATTTAAACAGAAAAAAAAATTGTTTGCTTTTACTACCAAAATAAATTTTAAAAACTTCCTCTGTGTGATTAAATTTGGCTTGGGTATGTGATGTTGAAAGTAATTATTCCTTTGAATTGTAAGCTTTGGAGTGTTGAAAGATTCTAGTTGAGGACATATGCACAGGAATTACATCTTAATTTAAAAATTATTAGTTGATTAATTTATTTATATTATAACAATATTATAAATTGATTATGAGTTATATTTTTTAAATAGTAATAACATTTCATTTTTAGTTTTTACAATAAAATTTTTACCGACTTCTTTTCGTTTTCTAGATTCTAAATTAGAATCTAATTTAATTTAGGAATGATTCTTACTCTAATGAAATGATATGAAGTAAGTGATCATCATCGTGTTTCGTGGGTGCTGGGAGAATGAATGAAGAAATCTTTATTTCAGAAAATGAGGATCGCTAACGAACTTATTATAAATCTTCGATTTTTCTGATGCATCAAAAAATGGCAATATCCATTTAACGATTAAACATTAAATACGGTGGTTGTATAAACCTCATAAATTAACCTAAAACTTCACGGAATGTTGAAAACGAAATAAATTTTAACTAACGAACTGAATGCAGATCGGCAAAGAGTCATTAACATAACTTCGGGAAGGCCAAGATTTTTTCTAATTATATCTCAGATTTTTCTAAAAATAAACCAAAATGCTCATGAATAATTAATTTTTAGAAACCTGCTTCCAGAGGTACTTGCCCGTTGAAAAAAATTTTCAATGTTAAAACGCTTGTAGGGCGCTTCCAGTTATATAATTCCATGTATGACATTTCCAATATTTTTTATATTGTAGACGCATAATAAAACTGAAATAAATAAATTGAACGACCAACGACTCACAAAACTAGAGAATAAATAACTTACGCCAAACTATTGAATTAAAATTCCTATATGTAATTCAATGGTCGCGCGCTACAATTTAAATTAGCTTAATTTAGTTTTCAAAATTTTAAGCCTACATAATGTACTACATAACTTTATGTATTACAACATAATTATGATTTTCTAATATTATCTTGCTGAAGATATATATCATTTATATTCATTATTTATAATCTATGATCTTTACTTACCAATTTTTGAACACGCCTACATCAGGCCACTTCTGTTTGAAAAATTTTTGCGCGAAAATTGTAGTGTTTAAACTGCTTTTAAAATAAACAATCACAAAATATTAATAAATTAATATTGTTTAATTAATTATGGAATATAAACATAAATCGGGCTCACAAAAGCGGAAGGAAAAAGCTACTGCTTTGGAAAACGACAAAATCGGCAGTCGTTCGTTATTTCAATTTGGAATCATTAAAGAAAAAAACAAAACAAAGACAGCCGTAAATTTTCCTACTTCGGCTGAGTCTGTCTGTCCGGTAGGGCTAGAATTTTCAGAATCGCACCGATTGGATGAAAATGGAAATAGCGATATCCAAACTCAAAATAATGACAGTGTAAATATAATAAAAGATAATGATGCCTCTGTAAACATAGAAACTGTTGAAAGATTTGGATTTGACGTTGGTACTTTGCCAGCCGGGCCAATACCCACACAGACTATAGAAACCGTGATTCGAAACGGTCCACCTAGACACCCGGACAATTTTCCGGGAGATGGACAAAGAGCTTTTCCGACGTGCATTTTAAAGGTGTCCAGACAAAATGAAGATGTTTGTGAAAGGGATTGGTTGGTATGGAGTAAAGAAAAAGAATCCCTGTTTTGTTTCCCATGTAGATTATTTAGTGAAATTGCCGTATCTTGCAGACCAATTTTGTCAAGTGATCAAGGATGGTCAAAACTAAAAACATGGCGTAAAGTGTACGATAAAATACCAGCTCATGAAAAAAGTGACGGTCATAAAAAATGTTATAAAGTGGCGCGATTCAGAAAGAAGATTTCTCTTTGGAAAGAATATAGAGTCTCAGATTGATAAAGAAATTGCTACAAAAGTAAAATACTGGAAAGAATTGCTTAAACGAATTTTAGCAGTGGTTTTATTTTTGGGTGAAAGAGGACTTGCATTCAGAGGTTCTTCCAACAAAATTGATGACCATGATAATGGAAATTTCTTTGGGATTATAGAACTGTTAGCTCAGTTTGATCCGTTTTTACAAGAGCATGTTTCTAAAGTTCAAAAATCTTAAAAACTTGGACAATGCCTTCAGGTTCATTACTTATCAGCAGATTCTCAAAATGACTTTATCGAAGCATGCAGCTCAAAAGTTATTCAAGAAATTTTGGCAGAGAGAGAAAGGTCTAAGTATTTTTCAATTATGGTAGATGCTACACCAGATTGTTCTCATACAGAACAAAGTACTTTCATTCTGAGACATGTACAAAACTGCAACTCAACATTTTTGGTCAAAGAACGTTTTCTTGCATTTGTTGATTATAACAAAAAAACTAGCCAGGATGTTGCAGATATGATCAAATATGAACTGGAGAAAAACAAAATTTCTCTGGATGACTGTCGAGGTCAGGGATACGACAACGGCTCAAATATGGCAGTAAAGTTCAAAGGAGCACAAGTAATCATTGCACATGCATATCCTCCAGCGAAATTTTCAAATTGTGGCGCCCATAGTTTAAATTTGTGCGGTATGCATGCAGCAGAATGTTGCAATGACGTTATAACTTTTTTTGGAATAGTTCAAAAGTTGTACAATTTCTTTGCGTACGATGGGATGGGAACGATCTCAACGATGGGAAATTCTACAGAGATTAACTGGATGCTCACTGCATAATCTTTCTCAAACTAGATGGTCGGCACGTGTGGAAAGTGTGAAACCGATTGCGAAGCACCTGCCAATTATCAAACATGCTATTATTAAATGTAAAGAATTAAATTTGTCATCAGAAAGTAAGACTGAATTGCAAGGAATTGAGCGTTATATGGAATCATACAAGTGTGTTTTAATGGCTCAAAGTTTTAGTTGCTATAAACAATCGAAACAAAATTATTCAAGCCAGAGAAGCCACATTGGATGTAGAAGTAGAAAACATCGACATTCTTCTTGGGGAACTGAAGGATCTACGTGAAAAATGGGACTTATTGCTAGCAGAAGCCAAAATAACAGCAGAAACTATGTCGTCGGATATTTCATGTGAAACAGAACTTCCAGAAAAACGCCAAAAACGACGAAAACGTTTTTATTGTTATAACCGTGCTACCGAACGCACTAGATTCTAGCGTATTCTAGAATGTTCTAGTGACTGGAACGTTCTAGAGTATGCTGGAATCGGACCATCGGGAAGAATCTAGAAACGACGCTTGCGAAGAGTATATAAGCGCACGTCGCAAGATATTTGTGATTGGTGATATTCGTGATTGGGATATTCGTGATTAGTGATATTCGTGATTAGTGATATTCGTGATTAGTGATATTCGTGATTAGTGAAATTCGTGATTTTGTGAATAGCGATTCGGTGAATTATTTAAAGCGATATTTGAATTGTTTGTTGACGTTGTCATAGCGATAGATTTTGAAAGATTTAAAAGTTAATTGTTGCGTTAGTGCGAATTTACTGGAAATAAACGATTAGTTGATTTCTTCTGTAAATAAAGTTTAATAACTAATAATAGTTGATTTCGTCTGTAAATAAAGTTTAATAACTAATAATAGTTGATTTCTTCTGTAAATAAAGTTTAATAACTGTTTGGAGTATTTTATTCAATCGAAGATTTGAACCCGTCGCATCGTAAACCGGTTACGACAGCGAGTATTATAACA